AGAGAGAGAGAGAGAGAGAGAGAGAGAGAGAGAGAGAGAGAGAGAGAGAGAGAGAAAAGAAGAAAAATGGAGTAAAGTCGTGAGAATCCACGGAATAAGGTAATCAGAAGTCTGAAAGACGGAATAAATAGCGGCGTTCAAAGCCGGCCTGAAAAGCTCGACGCGAAATCAAGTGCTCAGTGTGCTCATTACGTTAAGTACGTCGGACACAATGCGAGAGAGAGAAGAAAAGATGTCGCAGAATTATTCCGCGCACTTACCCTTCGCTTATCCTCCTCGTAAAAGTGAGTCGCGTTCTCCACTATTCGATGATCCGGAAATTCCTCGAAGGGCTGCTCCCGCGCGAACGTCAGGATCTCCCACAGGGTCACGGCGAACGCCCACACGTCGCCCTTGCATGTGTACCTTCCCTGTGAACAGCACGAGACGCACCCAAGGAGATTCACAAGAGTTCGGGCTTTCTCACAGCGCCTCTCGCCGTCCGGTAGTGACTTAACTGTTTTTTTTGTCGTATTTTTATTAGTCAAAGCTGTCGCACGGTATTTTAACGATGTATTGCGGAGCAAATCGGAAAGTGGAGAATTTTCGGATTATTAACATTATCATTATTATTATCATTGAATCATTATATTTTAATATATGCATAGATGCCGAGGTTGCAATAGATTCCGAATTACCAACGACCGCGCAGCTGCAATCGCAGATTCGTTATTATTATTGTAATAATTTCTACATGAGCACACGTATCGAAATCTGTCATTTATTATTAATTTTCACCACATGATTGTGCGTGATATTGATTTTTATTGAGCAATATGTATGGAATATTAAAATATCATTTTATCGCAGAAAAAGCGATTACTCACAAGTAAACCTACTCAAAAGTTACATTCCGATTTCTTTTTAATTTGGCACAAATGTAGAAGTACAATGTAGAAGTACAAAAAATATTTAGGTCATACTTTTTCATTTTGGCCCACTTTGAATTTCACGGCCAGTTTATAGCTTTTTAATATTCTTACTCTTATCATTAACAAGTGTAATAAAACTGCATAATAAATAAAATTGAATACAAAATATAGGTGTTTTTGGTTTGTTGATTATGATTATGATTATGAAGTGAAATGTATAAAATTATTTGTATAAATAATAAAATGTTTCAACAAAACATGTAAAAATTTGAAAAAAATTATTTATACAAATAATTTCTCAGTTTGGCCGAGAGTTGAATCATTTTTGACTACTTTAGCACAGAAATATTTCGGTTGGAATCTTGACTAAAGAAATTTAAAATGGTTCGTGTCTCGGCTATGCCCATTTTGTTAAAATTTTAATTAAAATTGCCGGATTTCTCTCTCTCGGTTTGGTCGCGATTCGAACCATTTTTTACTAATTTAGCACAGATTTGAAATATTTCAATTGGAATCTCGGCTAAAGAAATTTAGAATGATTCGTGTCTTAGCTATGCCGATTTTGTTAAAATTATTTAACTATATATCTTGTATTCAACTTTATTTGTTATGCATTTTTGTTGCATTTGTTGATGATAGGAGTGAAAACATTAAAATCCCTACCCGTGACCCACAAAGTGGGTCAAAATAAAAAAATATCTAAATATTTTTTGTACTTTTACATTTGTGCCAAATTAGAGAGAAATCGGAGTGTACTTTTTGTCTAGGTTTACTTGTCAGTTCCCTTTCTATTTTTTGAAGTAATTATTTTTCTGAAGTATATTTTCTTGATAATAATCTTACTGAAGTAATGGTTTTCTTTAAGGATATTTTTTTAGTAATAGTCTTACTGAAGGAAATTTAAATTTAGCAAAAAAAAATTTAGGAAATTCTCGAAAGAAAAGAGATTTACCAAAGCTAAAATTCACGGAAAGAAGATTACTGAAAAAAGATTTTAAATTTACATTAAATTGATTCAGCAAATTTTCAATAATAAAATTATGAATAATTATGATAGTTACAGAATAGTTTTATAGAAAAGAAATTTAAATTTACATTAAATTGATAATGCAAATAATCAATAATAAAATTATAAATAATTATAAAAATAGTCTTACCAAAGTAAATTTAAATTTATCAAAATTATAAGATTGTTAATATTAATTTAGTAAATATTTCTTTCTTACTGATAGATTTATTTAGTATCCGGCGTGACTTGTCAGAACCGCTCAACAGAGTTTTTACAACGCAAATATTACAACGCTAATGGTGACATTCCGACGCAAAAACGCGACAAAACGCTAAAGACAAAAGCCCACATCTCGCTCCGATCGACTGCTATTATATTCCTCGCGATACGTGAGACGTGGGTGATAGACAATAATAAGTAAACAAGGAGCAGCTCCAACGATTGTTGGGTCAACGGCCTCGTCCATTTGAAAATTATCACAAAATTTAGAGAATTTACGGAAGAAAAGAAATTTAGTAAAGTTAAGAAATTTACAGAAAGAAAATAGCTAAAGAGAAATTTAAATTTATTAACATTTAAAGAATTTTTAAAAAAAGTTTACTAAAATTAAGCAATTCACCAAAAAATATTAAAAAAGTATATTAAGTAAATATATTCATTGAAAAATTTTAAAAACTCATTATATATCATGTACTCAAAAAAAGAATTTGTTAAATTTCTCTTGGAAGAATATAAAACTTTATCGAGAGAAGAAAAAGTTGGTTCGCAACTCTCAGTAAGCAAATTAAAATTTCGTTTAATATTCTCGATTGAGACGCCGATTTTAGCAAAGTGCACGATGCATTTAATTATTAACTTTCTACAATAATAATTTAAACAAATCTCATGATTTGTGATGTGGTGGATTTTTGCCACTCGTCACCTGGGGCCGATTGTCCCGCCGAGGAGGGAGAAATTGTGGAACTCGCGTCTCCTCACCTCCACGTAGGGGAGGATGAGAGAGGCGGCTGAACGAATCGGTTAGTTTTTGGGAAACTCGGAGCACCGCGTTGAAAATTCTAGATCTGTGTAAGTCATAGGAAAGAGCAGGAGAGAGAGAGAGACGGACGCAGGACGAGCGAGCGGGTCGGGGAGGTGGGCGGACTAGGATCGGGCAAGGACAGTGGCTGCAGAGAGAGAGAGAGAGAGAGAGAGAGAGAGAGAGAGAGAGAGAGAGAGAGAGAGGATGCGACGAGTGAGAGGCGAAGCGGCAATAGATGCGGAGATGGCCACCCCGTGCGCGACATTGCGCGCCTCATGTAATGGTTTCGGCGTATCCTGCGAGGAGATCGGAGGGAAGAACAAAGGGCACGCCGCTGCAGGGCATCCTCTCAATCCCTAGAGCTGTCAGCCGTATAGAGTTTACGTTACTCGTCGTGTGTGATATCGGTCTCGCGAGCATATTTTTGTTCTCGTACGCGTTCGTGAAGCGTTGCAAAGTCTCGGATCGCGAATTATAGGAACGGCGGAGGAGACTCGTAGGCCTTGCGCACACGGCTAGATAGAACGCCCTTGTGAGTATATGAAGTTGGCACCCCACTTTTTGAAATTTATAATTTTGAAAGTTGTTCCAGATTGTTCTGACTTTGTACCACATTATTCCAAAGTGATATTGTTTCATTCGAAACGGTTTTCGAATAAAACAAAAAAAAA